GCAGCGGGCGGGCTGCGGGCCCTGCTCGCGGGCGGCAGCCCCGGCGGGGGCGCGGGCCCCCGGTCAGCTGCGGGAGAGCTCGCAGAGCTGCAGGCAGCGGGTGCGGCCCACGGCAGTCCCCAGCACCCTGAAGACCTGCTCGTTTGGCCGCAGCCCTCGCAGGAGAAGAGACAAAACACACAAAACATGATGTTGTTGGCGCTCCACGCGGATGTCTTGGATTTGCACTGGGCCCCCTCCCTGGCTCGCGGAGCGCGCCAGGGGCGGCGCCGGAGGCGCCGCCAGGGGCCCCCAGCGCAGATCCAAGAAATCCGTGCGGAGCGTCGAAAGTTCTCCAAATAGGCTTGCCTTGTAGGAGTCCTAGCTCATTCTCAGTAAGTGGTCTTTGGGACCCCCCCCCCTTTTCCAATGGCACGCCCCTCCCCCCTTTTTTCCAATGGCACCCCCCCTTATTTGCTCTCGCTTGCTTGCTCTTGCTTGCCCTTGCTTGCTTGCACTTGATCGCTGGCTCTTGCTTGCTTGTTATTTCTCGCTTGAGCTTGCTTGCTTCCGCTTGCTTGCTTGCGCTTGCTTGCTTCCGCTTGCTTGCTTGCACTTGCGTGATTTTGCTCCTCCCGTCCTGCTCCCGTCCTCCTTTCGTCCTCCTCCTATCCTCCTCTCGTCCTCCTCCTGTCCTCCTATCTATTTGGAGTCAACGCTGGCTGATATTTCTGTTTGTGTGTTTTGTTCTTCCTCGACCTCTGGCGATGGCGTCACGGAAGACGGCCTCGGCGCGGTCCGTCTGGCGCGGCTTGGCCCTCCCGTACGCAAGGATCTGGGTGTACAAGAAATAGTCGTTGACGGCGATGCCCTCGCCCTCCATCTCCTCTCGGATACGCTCCACCTGCACCCAGTCGCCTTGGTAGGCAAAGGGCCGCGCCAAAGCCGCGCATACCACGATGTGCGACTTGATGCCTTGGGCCTGCATCTGCCGAAAGACGGACATGGCCCGCTCTGCGTCGCCGACCTTCCCGCAAGCGTTGATTACGCAGCCGTAGACCACCCCGTCCATCGCCGCCCCGGTGTCCTCCGCTCGTTGCAGCCAAAGGCAAGCGGACTGGACGTTGCCGACCCGCGAGCAGGCATTGATGAGGGCGCTGTAGCAGTAGGCGTTGGGCTGAACGCCCTGCTCCCGCATGTGGTCGTGCCAGTGCTCTGCCCGCGCAAGGTCGCCCACCTTGGCGCAGGCGTTGATCATGGTGCTGAAGCTGACGACGTTAGGGCTGATACCCTGCTCTATCATGGACTCCAACCACTTCTCGGCACGCTCGACGTCCAGGGACTTGGCGCAGGCGTCGAGAAGGGAGGTGAAGGTCATCACCGTGGGCGCGATCCCGTGCTTCCCCATCTCTCTGAACCAGCGCTCGGCCGTGTCCACGTCGCACTGGGAACTGCTCGCGTGGATCAAGGAGTTGAAGCACGCGATGTCAGGCGTGAACCCTGCGTCGGTCATCCTCCTCAGCCAGAGCTCCGCGCGCGAGATGCTGCTCAACCTGGTACACGCGTTGATCAGCATCATGTACGACAGGGCTGTTGGCTCCACGCGGGCGTCGCTCATTCTCTGCATCCAGGCCTCTGCCGCGTCGATGTCCTGAGCCTTCACGGCGGCGCCGACGAAGAGGCTGCGGCACTGCTCGTTGGGGCAGTGGCCAGCCAAAACCATCCGCGCCAGGCAGTCCCACGCCGCCTCGAGCTCACCCCTCCTGGCATGGGCACGGACGAGATGGTGGAAGCTCGCGGCGTCTGTCGGTGAGCTCAGGGGAAGCCCAACCAGCAGCCTGCAGAGAGAACAACATGCGCCCCATACCCCGACGCAATGATTTCTTCATTACGTCGACCCCCAGAGGGCCCGACCCGTTCCCCATGACCGGCTCTGCATCCTGAGTCGTTCTTTGACGCTCCCGAGGCCCGGCGAGGGCCCCCGGAGGCCGAAAATTCAGCAAAACCTGCCGTCGTGATTTTTTCATTGCTCGAGGGGGTCTGGGTGCGCAGAAACTCTCGGAGCTCCGCGCGGATGCCGCGCCTCCCTGGCGAGTGGCGCGCGCAGGGAGCGGCGCCGGAGGCGCCGCCGGGGGAGCCCGGCACAGAGCCGCGGAGCACCGGCAGCTTTTGCTGGCGACCTATATACGAGACCTATGTTGCTTCACATCAGCAATTTGGCCCCTGCTGACTTTTTTCCAAATCCGCCGACCCCTTGGGGATCATCGGCGTGTGAGATGCTTCCCCCTCCCCAAACCCCTCCCCCGGGAGCCCGGTCCGGTCGATTTGGAGGGGGGGGGGGTCCGGGACGAGCGGTTCACGGGGCTTTTCCGGGCCCAAGAGGGCCTCAAGACGGGCCAAGAAGCCCCCAAGAGGCCTCCAAGACGGCCCACGAAGGCCCCGAGACGCCAAACGACCGCTCCAAGACGCCCAAGATGGCCCCAAGACGGGCCAAGAGGTCTCCAAGACGGCCCCCGAGGTCCCAAACAAGCCTCCCAAGAGGGCCCCAAGAGTCTAAAATTGTTGATTTTCCATAGTGTTTTTCGATGTTTTTGCTTTTCCGCCTTTTCGGCTTCCCGACGCTCCAAGACGGCCAAAGAGGCCCCAAAGACAGCCCCAAGATGGCCCAAGAGGCCCCCAAGACGGCCTCCAGACGGCCCAAGACGGCCCCAACACGGCCCAAGAGGTCCCCAAGACGGCCCAAGAGGGCTCCAAGACGGCACCAAGAGGGGCCCAAGAGGGCGACCAAACATGTTGAAACTCTAGCTTTCTGCCCCCAGGAGCCCCAGGGGGCCCCAAGAGTGCCCCAAGAGGCCCCCAGAGGCCCTCACGAGGCCGCCCAGACGCCCCAAGGAACCCCCAAGAAGCACCCCAGAGGCTCCGAAACGGCCCCCAAGTGGCTCCAAAACTCGTTTCCAGAGGCCCCCGAGAAGCGATCCGCGAGATCCCGATACACATACAAGAAGCCTCTCAAGGGGTCGGCGGTGTGGCGTAAGCCTAAGAATAATATATTGGGATGAAACGCTGCCGCTGGATATATCGAGCACAGTTGATCACAACACAAACGCTCCTGCGATCCCCGCCAAAATGGCAAGAAATGGTAAGCTCAGATCCGCATGGCTACATTGCAACCGAACCGCTTGACCACCATCTCGACCGAACTGGCGGAATTCGACCACGCGTCCGACAAAATACGTTCGACGAGGGATGCGCTGCACAATGCCCCGGCCACGGGCAGCGCTACGAGGGAAAGCGGGCCCTTCGATGTGTCACTTTCAGCGCCCGTGAAAGTGACACCTCCCAGGGCCCACTTAAAGAGCACCAGAAAGGCTCCAAGAAGGCCCCGAGAAGGCCCCAGGGCGGCACCAAGAGGGCTCCCAGAGGGACCCAAGAGAGGCCCCAAGAAGGGCCCAAGAGGGCCCTCCGCGGTGTCACTTTCAACGCCCGTGGGCCCTGCCTGTGGGGCCGTCGGTGTAGCTCCCCGTGGGGCCACGAAGCGTGTGAAACGTATGCCGAAATATGCTGGGCGGCGGCCTGGGAAACCTGCCGCTGGGACCTTTTTGTTGGTGGAGCTGCCTATAGGGGCACGAAATGTTTGAGGGTGTCATCAATGTGGCCTGGGCGACGGCATGTGGACCTTGCCGCCGGGACCTCCGATGAGCTCCTCATGGGGACACGAAGCGTCTGAGGGGCGTGCCGACATGGGCTGGGCGGCGCACTAAGGACCCTGCCGATGGGGCCTTCGGTGGAGCACCTCACAAGGCCACGAGACTTGCGGGGGATGTGGCGAAGCAGAGACGCGGGGGAACAAGGGGGGTGTTTTGATGATGTTGATGAGGATGGTGGTGGTATTGATGATGGAGACGGCGAGAATGCTGATGATGCTGATGATGATGGTGATGGCGACGATGACGATGGACGATGACGACGGAGACACGCGGAGAGCAGGGGCAGATACGCGAAGAGGGAGGACGAGGGAGGGGGCCGGAAGGAATGACGCGGGGCGGTGTCTCTTCAAAACGAAGAACCAACACTGCAATATGGTAGGAAATTTCTGGACGACCCCCCCCCGTGGCGCGGTCAATGTCCGCGACAGCATCGCTGGCACTACGAACGAAATGATCGAACTCTTCCTGCGACGTTACCCGCGGGGTGGATCAGCCAGGGATGGGGGTCGAAACCGCCCCAGCGCAAAGCAAATGTACAATCCTGAGAAACCCCAGCCCACATCAACCGATCCGCAACAAGCACGCAAGCCTTTGACGACCCCAACGCACGTGACATCGCATAACGCGACGCGCCATCGAAAACGTTCGACGCGCGGCCTCGGAATGACATCGGGCTTCATGGAACGTCGAATGGAAAACATGAAAAACCGCCCTGTGGGCTCCGAGACCCAAAATTACTGATGTGAAGGATTTCGGCTCGTCGACTATACTGAGCCACCCCCGCCCAGCCCGAAGTCGCCGCCGGGCCCGTCACTCTCCAGCGGGGGGGACATGCCGGAAATGGAGAACAGACCATGGGACCCGCACACCCCCTGTCCCGATGTGTGAGGTGGTCTGAGGCCTTCGGGTTAACTAGGGGGGATGGATGGGATGGAGGAGGAGGAGGAGGAGGAGGAGGAGGAGGAGAGCCAACGCTTTCACAAATATCCTGACGGAGGTTTCTCGCAAGTCTCGGCCCCTATACCCAGCCCCCCTCGCGTAATGAAAAAAACATGATGGGAGGTTTTCCTAATTTTCGGCCTCTCAAGGCCCTCACCGGGCCTTGGGAGGATCAAAAAACGACTCAGGACGAAACACCCGTCCCAGGGAAGGGGTCCAAACCTCTGGCGGTCGCATGACAAAAATTATGACGTCGGGGGTCTGGGTCCAGAGTGCTCCAGGCCGATCTGGACTGCCCCAGACCTCGATGTCTTGGAACTGCGATGCCCAGGCCCTGGTGCCACTTTTGTAGCCCTCCTGGAAGGCCAGGGCACGTGTGGCCGCCTCAAGCAGCTTCCCCCGAGCTTGACCCAGACGCCCGGCGTCTCGATTTGTTCGAGACACGGCCCCCCGACCCAGACCCCCTCGAGCAATGAAAAAATCATGACGGGAGGTTTTTCTGAATTTTCGGCCTCCGGGGGCCCTCACCGGGGGGACTTTTTCATGACCCGAGGGGGACCTGGAATAGCAGGAAACTGTCCCCGGAACCGGTTTTTCGTCCTGAGCCTTGTGGGCTAAGTTCACATTGGGCAATTGGCCTCGACGGAAGTGCACGGTCGCGGCAAGAAAGCGGGCCTGGATGAGACGGCACGTGTACTCCGCCAGCGCCACACTACCTCAAGCGAACTAGATCCCACCAGCCTTCCGACCGAAGGCGGTTTGAGCAGTTAGCTCTTCTAACCCCCTTCTTCCTCTTGGGGGCCTGGGCGCAGGGCCCCGCAGCGCCCCCCGTCTTAGGCGCAAGGCCACGGAGCCATGCGAAGACGCGCGCGCTCCCAGAGATCCGACGTCGCGATTTTTTCAATACGCGATCCCCGGAAGTCTCGACCCATTCCCCAGGACCGGTTTTTCATCCCAAGTCGTTTTTTGACGGTCCCGAGGCCCGGCGAGGGCCCCTATAGGGGCCGAAATTTGCGAAAAAACTCCGTCTTGATTTTGTCAGTGCGTTGGATCTCTGGGCTCTTGACCCCTTCCCCGGGTCCTGGTTTTCTCATCCTGGGCCGTTGAGGAGGAGGAGGAGGAGGAGGAGGAGGAGGAGGAGGAGGAATTGTTGGACGGCCCCGCGAGGCCCGGGATCGAGGGGGGCCCCCGGGAGTCCGACCCTCGCGAGACACTTGCCTCCCGCCCCAGTGGGCACGTCTTCGTATTCGGCCTCTCGACACCGGGCGGCAGGGGGGGCGGAGGGGAGGGCCCACGGCGCTCCGCACCTCGGCCCCGCGCGACGGCCTGCGACAGCTCGCTTCACGGGGGGAGGCGCCGCTTGCTGGAATGAAGGGGCCCTGGGACACACAAATAAATACACACAAATAACAGGATCCCCCATATTTCCCCATATCTTCTGGGTTTTTGTCTTCCCCCCCCCTTCCCATATTTTCCCACGTTTTCCTGGGAGTCGACGATTAATTGTGTCTGTGTGTTTCGTTTCCTCCTGATTGAGGCAGGCGCCAAGGACAGCCAAGATCCACTCCATGGGCAGGGGGGCAGCGGGTGCGGGGCGGCGAGACAGTCAACCAGAAAACGAGGGATTGCAGTGTCGTCCTTGCTTCGCTCTGGGGCGCCTCGTTCTGGGGCAGAGCTGACCCGACATCGGTACGGAAGCGGAGCGAAACGGGAACAGAACCGGAGCGCAGCCAACAACGTCCCACCGCTGATAGAGACGAGCATGAAGCGAAGGTGCAACGAACACGCACAGAGCAAACGCATCCTTGGATGCCTCGAGAGCCCCGAGACCTTACACCCAGAGGCCCCGAACCAAAGGCCACTCCGGCGAAGGGCCACTCTTACGCGCAGCCGGCTCAGGGCTCCTCGACCACCTCAGGCTATAGGGGGCAGCTATCCCGCGGGGCCAGGCTCTCCTGGGCCGCGACCCCGCGGGCCGGGACCCTGGGCCGCGACCCCGCGGATACGGGGCGCTGGTTTCGCGGATGCCCCGCACGGAACGGAGCTGTCCGTGCGGCCGCGTACTCGCGGGATCGCGCCCCGTGGTCCAAACCGCGAGGGCGTGGATGATTATTTGCCCAGACGTGTTCGCGTCGTGAAACAAATCAAGGCGGGATGCTTGCTCGTCGTTTTAGGATGATGAGAAGCCGGCCCCGAGGAATGGGTCGGGACTTCTGGGGGCCCCGCAGCGACAAGCACAAAAAGGGTCGCACGTCTGGGGATCCGTCCGCCGCTCGTGAGAGGCGTCGCAGAAGATCGCGACTGGAGCCCTGGCCCCCAATCGAGCCCGATCAATCTGTGAGGGTCCCGGGGCCCGAAACTGGGCGAGAACGCCTGGCTCGAAAAAGTCAAGGCTCCAGACCGCGAGGGCGTGGAGGTGGATGCGGTCGCCGCTCGTGGGCAGCCTCACGCTCGGGGGAGCTGCCCGGCGGGGTCGGCATCAGCGCCCTCGATGCGCATCGCCGCTAGATCCACGCACATCGACGCTAGAGCGGCGCGCCTGTCACGCCAGCGCACGCTAACAAAAGACGGAATCCCACCAGCCCTCTGGGCGTGAGTGGTTCAGAGTTTTCTTCTTCCAACCCCCCTTCTGCACCTTCGGGGAAGGGTTTCCCCCTCCCCTTCCCCCCTCCCCCCTGTTTTCCACTGCATGCCCCTCCACATCCCTGAGCGTCAACTTGTATGGGCGTCATATCTGGATGGGCTGATGGGGTTAAGCGAATTACGAGGGACATACGATGCTACCATGATTTGGACGCCCGAAATGGGTACGGACAAAAATAAGCACGATGCCCAACAACAAATGTTGTCCAACATCGACAGCGGCCACTGTTGGGCAGGCGGTCTTCTGTCTCGAATGGACAATGCCAAAGGCCGCATGGACAACGAACCCTGTTCAAAATGGACAGGAACTGATGTTGGGCATTGTGCCCACTCTTCCCGTACCCATTGTTGGCGGCGCGCAAAGGGGGGGGGTCAGGGGGAGGGGGGAGGCTTCTTAGAAGGAGGCTGCCTCTCAGGAGGCGCGGGCCCTACCTACAGAGATGCGAGGCCCGCACCCTCTGAGAAGCAGCCTCCCTCTCCGCAGCTCCCCACCCCCACTCTCCCCGAGATCCGACGTCCGAAAAGTTCAAATCACCACGACAAATCGCCACCGGAGCCGCGGACCCCATCTTCCATGCGGCATCCGTCGAGCCGCATCGAGCTGCCAGGAGTAAGTCGGGCCTGTCCCCCTACAGAGGGATTTTCGACGAAAAATTAAAAATACCCCAAAAAGGTCAGAAATACCAGAAAAGTAGTCCCCAGACCATTTTTGGACTATTTTTGGAATATTGTCGGGGTATTTTCTATTCTTCGTCGAAAATCCCCCTGTAGGGGGACAGGCCCGACCTAACGCTAGGAGGGCCCCAGGGCCCACATCCGGGGCGACAGCAGCGCCCGTGGTGCAGAAACCATGGCAGCGCCGGGGCCTCCGGGCTCCGCGCGTGGTCGGCACGCGCTGTGCTCCCAGGACGTGCCACCCAATTCTCAGGAGGAGAAACAACACACAGACTTAATTTTTGATCGTCGCTCCCCCAGAAAAGATGGGAAAATATGGGAAGTGGGGGAAGATCTATATATGACTTATTTGTATTTGGATCTATTAACCGATATGGGAAAAATTGGGAATCTTGTTACTTGTATCTATGAATTGACATGGGGATGCGTGCTCAGCCCGGTTCTGTCCACAGCTGTGTTGGCGTGGGCCATGTGTGCGTGGAGACCTCGCGTGTGACATCTTGGATTTGATTCTGGAGACGATTTGAGACCGCTCATAGACGTACGCAATGACACTCTAGTGTTTGCCAGATCAGCGGGCGACGCTACACTGCAGCTGGATGCACTGATCGACGAATTGGCCAAAGTTGGATTGATCCTGAATGCGGCCAAGAGGGTGGTAATGACAACAGAGGCGCAACCTCCGCTTAATATTGCCACGCAGGTCGGCGCAACCATTCTAATCCTGCCCCGGGAAGCCGCCCACAAGTGGTTGGGATGCATGTTGTCCGCTGGAGGTTCTGGAACGCATAACTTGGACGTGGAGTATCATCTGACATCCGCAAGTCAGGCTTTCTTTGCAAACAGAGCCATTAGTTGCGACCAGAGTGTGTCTCTCACTGCCCGGCTCGAGTTTTTCAGCCGCGTCGTAACCTCAGTGGCATGTTTCGGAGCTGGCGTCTGGAAGCCGTACAGCGACTCACTGCACAAAGTCGACTTGGCTTTCCGGCGACTGATGCGGCAGGTCGTTAGCCCGCCAGCTGGTTTGGATTGCTCTCGACCTTGGCACGAGATCTTACACTTATGGCATGAAAGGCTCAATCAAGCAACGACGGAACATGGTATCCGGACTTGGTCGAGAGAGTCCATGTGGAAGTACTGGGTTCTGGCAGCATATATTGCGAGTTTGCCCCGAGAGCAGTGGGCGCAGAGAGCCTTACAGTGGACGTCGTCTCGGACACGCTCACAGGGTCGTCCTCTCCAGTCTTGGGGCTCGAAGCTCTCTCGTCGGGTCGTGGCAAGACGCTGCACGAGATTACGCCGCGTGGGTGGACATGACAGAAAACCTCCTGGACTTCTGCATGTGCGCAGGCTCTGTGCTTCCCGTGCGCGCCCGCCCGAGCAGTGACTGGCATGCTGCTTTGCTCTCGCGCCCTGCACGGGCCCGCCCTCGTGCGAGCGGGGTGACTTGACTTGACTTGACTGACTTGTGTGTCCCAGGGCCCCTTCAATTGAGCAAGGACCGACCGTCCCAGCATTGCTATATAGCCCTACCACGAAATGTTCTCAGAACCCCAGAATGTTCTAAGAACAAAACAGATGCTCTCAGAACACAGACCCGATGTGCAAAACCAAGACAGACTCCACCAGAAATGTTCTCAGAACACTTCGTGGAAACCACAGAAGAGGTGCTTCGAACCTCGCCTGGTAGGGCTATATAGGGCACGCCGGGACGCCTCGCCGCTGCTCGCTTCACACCCCGCGGCCTCGCGCCCGGGGGCAGCTGCCCGGCGGGCCCGGCGCCGGCGCCCGGGGCGCCCGCCGCCCTCCCGCGCGGCCTGAGGCTCGGCATCGCTCGGGAGGGGGAGGAGGAGGAGGAGGAAGGAGGAGGAGGAGGAGGAGGAGGACGAGGCGGCCTCGCCGCGGCCTCGGCGGCCGCGGCGCCCGCGGCGCCCGCCCGCGGCGGCTCCGGCGGCGCCGCGCCCCGCGGGGCCGAGGCCTTCGCAAGCGGCGCGCTCGGTGGGCGCTTCGGCGCCGCGGCCCGCGGCGGCCCGCGCAGCGCCATGAAGGAGAGGTACCTTTGACCGGTCCCCGTCCCCAGGCGTCCTTTGAGCAGTCGAGCATCCTTTGAGCACCCTTTGAGCATTTGAGCATGATCTTCGCACGACGTCGACCCCCAGAGTTCCCAGAGATCCGACGTCCTGCTTTTTTCTATGCGCGGTCCCCGGAGGTCTCGACCCATTCCCCGGGACTGGCTTTGCATCCTGAGTCGATGTTTGACGCTCCCGAGACCCAGCGAGGGCCCCTATAGGGGCCGAAACTTGCGATAAACCTCCGTCTTGATTTTTTCAATGCGTTAGATCTCTGGGTTTGAGCATCCTTTGACCGATCCCCAGATCCCCCGCGGCGCGGACCGGGCCCCACTGGCCGAGTTTTACCCTCCTGGGTGGGGATCTATATGCAGGCCGTGCCCTGCGGGCCTCGAGGGGCGTGTCCCCAACTTGAGTGGCAATTTGGCGGGGGCCTCGAAGGGGATGGGGATGGGGATGGGGCTGGGCTCCCCAGACCCGACGTCATGATCTGTTCGTTACGTCGACCCCCAGAGGTCCCGACCCTTTCCCCAGGACCGGCTCTGCATCCTGAGTCGTTGTCTGACGCTCCCGAGGCCCGGCGAGGGCCCCCGGAGGCCGAAAATCAAGAAAGACCTTCCGGCAAGGCCAAATTGAACGGTTTCCAAGAATCTGGCTCTTGAGTACCAAAACAATCATGTAAAGAAGGCTCGTCGAAACAAACAAACACATGAGAATTCAACAGGCCAACGCGCCATAACCTACTACAAGTGCAGAGAATACTGGAGCTGTGTAGCTTGCTTCGATTTTGTCCTTGCTCGAGGGGGTCTGGGTTATTAAACGATACCGAACCTGCCCAGACCCCCGAGAACGGCACACGAAATCGCGACGGCTAGCGCTTCGCGAGGGTCGGACTCCCGGGGCCCCCCCTTGCCGGGCCTCGCGGGGCCGTCCAACAATTCCTCCTCCTCCTCCTCCTCCTCCTCCTCCTCCTCCTCCTCCTCCTCCTCCTCCTCCTCCTCCTCCTCCTCCTGAGAAAACCAGGTCCCCGGGAAGGGTCAAGATCCCAGAGATCCAACGCATTGAAAAAATCAAGACGGGAGGTTTTTCTCAAATTTCGGCCCCTAGGGGCCCTCGCCGGGCCTCAGGACCGTCAAAAACGACTCGGGATGAAAAACCGGTCATGCGGAATGGGTCGAGACTTCCAGGGACCGCGCATAGAAAAAATCACGACATCGGATCTCTGGGAACTCTGGGGGTCGAAGTTGTGCGAAAATCATGACGTCGGGGGTCCCAGCCCCCCGACGTCACGATTCTCTCAAAGCGTCGACCCCTAAAGGCCTGGACCCCCTTCCCCGGGACCGGCCTCTCATCCTGAACGCGTTTTTGACGTCCCCGCGAGGCCCCGAAGGGGCCCCCGGAGGCCGAAACTTCCCACGAGAGGGGGTCTGGGGTCTGGGCTTACCCAGACCCCCGACGTCATGATTTTTTCATTACGTCGACCCCCAAAGATCTCGACCCATTCCCAGGGACCGGTTTTTCATCCTGAATCGTTTTTTGACGCTCCCGAGGGCCGGTTAGGGCCTCCAAAGGCAGAAAATTAGGAAAAACCTCCCGTCATGATTTTTTCATTACCCGAGGGGGTCTGGGTACGTGAGGGCACCACCACCCCTGAGATCTGGGCGCTGCCATGCAATCCTTCGCGCCGGGCGTGCTCGCCCGTCGCGTGGCTCGGGGGCCACGCCGGGGGGCCCGCCCGGAGGAAGCCGAACGATGGTGGGGTCCGGGGCTCTGCGGGTGGCTTCTTGTTCCGCGCTGCAGGTGTTTTGCAGCGTCAGGCAGGAGGGCACCCGCACATGCCACTGCTTCAACCCCAGACCCCCTCGGGTAATGAAAAAATCATGACGGGAGGTTTTTCCTAATTTTCGGCCTTTGGAGGCCCTAACTGGCCCTCGGGAGCGTCAAAAAACAATTCAGGATGAAAAAACAGTCCCGGGGAATGGGTCGCGATCTCTGGGGGTCGACGTCATGAAAAAATCATGACGTCGGGGGTCTACGAAAGATCAGGGCGGAGCCTTTTCTGTGTTCGGCCTCCGGGCCCCATGACCATCCAGAATCGAGACCAGGACAAGCCGGCCCCGAGGAGAGGGCCGGGCCTTCAGGGGACCCCGCACTCGCAAAGTCGGGGCTCTGGACCCCCTTCCCCGGGACCGGCTTCTCATCCTGAACGCGCTTTTGACGTCCCCGCCCGCGAGGCCCTCCGAAGGGGCCCCCGGAGGCCGAAACCTCCCACGAGAGGGGGTCTGGGGTCTGGGCTTAGTTACGTGAGGGCACCACCACCCCTGAGATCTGGGCGCTGCCATGCAAGCTTTCGCGCCGGGCGTGCTCGCCCGTCGCGTGGCTCGGGGGCCCCGAGGGGGGGGGGGCCCGCACGGAGGCAGCCGAACGAGGGTGGGGTCCGGGGCTCTGCGGGTGGCTTTCTGCTCCGCGCTGCACGTGTTTTGCAGCGTCAGGCAGGGGGGCACCCACACATGCCACGGCTTCAACAGGTCAGGGCGGAGCCTCTTTGCTGTGTTCGGCCTCCGGGCCCCAGGACCCTCCAGAATCGACCAGGGCAAGCCGGCCCCGAGGAGAGGGCCGGGCCTTGAGGGGACCCCGCACTCGCAAAGTCGGGGCTCCAGGCCGAGCCTGGCCAGGCTCATCCCCAGAGATCCGATGTCGTGATTTTCTCAATGCGCGGTCCCCGGAAGTCTCGACCCATTCCCCAGGACCGGTTTTTCATCCTGAGTCGTTTTTTGACGGTCCCGAGGCCCGGCGAGGGCCCCTATAGGGGCCGAAATTCGCGAAAACCCTCCGTCTTGATTTCTTCAATGCGTTGGATCTCTGGGTAGGCCGAGCCTGGCCAGGCTCATCCTGGCCCCAAGACCTGCAGACGCCCTCTGGACGTTGGAGGGAGGGCGTGCACCCGGCCTGGGCCCAGGACCGGCCGGGGCCCAGGATCGGTGCATACCCTGACCTTCCAGGAGGGCTGAAAAATAGCACCCGACCTAAAAACCTATCCCAGAGTTATTCTACGTCTTGGTTTCAGGCTGCTTCGTTTAGTTTTTTATGTTTTTAGGCCTCCAGTGCTAAAAATAGCTCTCTGGAAGGTCAGGGTAACTACCCAGAGATCCGACGCATGCAAAAAATCAAGACGGAGGTTTTTCTTGCCAATTTCGGCCCTTGCCTATAAGGGCCCTCGCTGGGCCTCGGGACCGTCAAAAAACGACTCCGGACGAGAAACCGGTCCCGGGGAATGGGTCGAGACCTCCGGGGGCCGCGCATGGACAAAAATCACGACATCGGGTCTCTGGGTGTGCAGCCCAGGCCTTCGGACGCCCTGATGTTGGCAATGCGCGGTGCCCGAGGCCCCGACCCTCTCCACGGGACCGGCCTCTCATTCAGCGTCGCGTTCTGGAGGTCCCGGGGCCCGGCGAGGGCCCTTCTAGGGCCGAAACCGATGCGGGCCCTGCAGCCTGCCCTCCTGGCTTTTGTCCAGCATGTCTGGGTATGTACAGGTGCATAGCTTGGGGAAGCCACGCAAAAACAACACCGCTGCTCCACGACCTCTCCCGGGGTGCGCTCCGACCAGAACCCCGTGGCGAATCCCAAGCGGTGGCGCCGAGGGCCACCCCGGAAGCCCGGAGAGGGGGGAACGAGGGCAGGGGAACTGTGGCGGTATCGGCGCCCTTCCCTCCTCTCGGGGAGACGTGACTCGGGTGCGGGGGACTCGGGTTGGCCTGACGAGGCCGCCAAGAAAATGACGAGATGCAGTCTAAAATTGGACGCGAGCTCATGCTGCAAACATACCACGAACACTGGGCCGCCAAAATCCAGGGCGGGCGCGTCAAAAAACTTAGGCGAACCCGAGTTCCGGCGTACAGTCGGGCTGCTGAAATAAGGAACGATATGAGGAACGAAGCCCCTTCTTGGCCCCAAAAGCGCCTGCGTGCACGAGGAAGGGCGTGCACGAGGAAGGTTAGAGGAACAACCATGAACGAGCCTATCAGGCTGTAAGAAACATCGAGCCCCTTCCGAACCCAAACTGTTCCTGATTTCAGCGTCTTGACTGTACTCTAGAAGAAGAAAAATCGGCATATAAGCATGAACTTTTGGCGCTCCGCGCAGATTTCTTGGATCCGCGCTGGGCCCCCCTGGCGCGCGGAGCGCGCCAGGGGCGGCGTCGGAGGCGCCGCCGGGGGGGCCCAGCGCGGATCCAAGAAATCCGCGCGGAGCGCCAACAGTCTTGTGTTTGTGCCTCGAAGCGCCTTGACTTTACTCGAGTCTAACGTTTCCCCGGTCCCCTGGTGATTGTGTTTGTTCTTGTTCGGCGTGTCGACATTGGGCGGAATAGGGAGGGTGGGTGGGAGGGTCTGGCTCCGGACCTCTGCTTAACATACGGCTGTTTGCAACAGTGCGCCCAACGGTTAGTTAGGTCGGGCACGTCCCCCTGCAGGCGGATGTTGGGCGAAAAATAACGGATGGTCGAAACACACGCGAGAAGTTTCAAAAATAGTCAAAGAATCGTCCCCAAATCATTTTTTCCCAGTTTTTCCCCATATCCTAAGATGGGGTTCTTGTTATTCCCCATACCCAAAGAGATGGGGTTCTTGTTATTGGCAGACCGCGCCGGAGGAACACAGGAACACCCTCACCTCCTCTGACTCACTCATCACTCAGACTCACTCATCACTCGGACTCAGTCATGACTCAGACTCATCACTCATCACTCAGACTCATCACTCATCACTCAGACTCACTCATCACTCAGACTCACTCATGACTCAGACTCACTCGTACTTGTACTCATACATTCACTACACTCACTCAGGTCCACTCATCGGATGACTCACACACACACACACACACACACACACAAACACACACACACACACACTGATGTTGAGGATGTCTCAGGCGATTCGCTCGTCTCAGCACTCTAAGGAGAGCGGCGGGGGGGTATCTCACGG